CATAAAAGCACTTTTTCTACTTAGGATGCAAATACCTGGGAAGGAGGGATTGAAGTGTGGAGGTAAAGTAAGTCTTGAGAACCTTGAGCCTGGCACATAGTAGGTGCCTATAAATCCTTGTTAAGTGCATTGGAAGGAGAAAGGATTGAAAGTAGGAAGGGAATGAAGTGACTGTTGCAGGAAGTCAGGCATAAGCACTCTCTTCCCCACATACTGTCACTTCATCTGTTAAAGTCACTGTATCACATGACAAAGATTTATTGGGCATCTACTCTGTTATTATAGCCACCTCAGGAAAATTTCTGCAGAGCATGTTGTTCTGGGCAGTAACATTTGTCCCTCGACCAGAATGATACTTGAGGGCAGGCACTGTTTACTTTTAAATCTCTCCATCCCTTACACCTAGCATAGTACCAGATACATAGTAGGTGCTCAATCAACATCTACTAAATGCAGGACATGTATGACCCAATATGCTCAGTGGATAGCTGAGAAGGTTTATTATTGATGTGGTTCTGGGGCTGGTGGGCTGGACAAGTGGGGAGGGCTAGTTGTGAGCTGGTGTTTTTAATCCTTCTCTTTCAGGCTGGTCTAATAACTTTCTTTTTTTAAAGATGTCACTTTGGTTAACATTCAGCACATGCTATATTTGGCAGTAACTGGTTTTGAGAATTTAAGTCCTGAAAATACTAACAGGAGACATACTGGGATGATGGCTGGCACTAAAGAGATTTGGTAATCCTAAATTGTTTCAACATTGTTAGGGTTCCTGGTTTTGAGACACAAAGCAAAAAGGAGACAGCTGTCAGTAATAAGGCACTGAGTCAGGAGAGGCAGGAGTTAAATTGCACTCTGTGCCCCATTTAATAAAGTATGTTATAGCCAGTGCCACAAATTTGATTTGAACAATTTCTATTTTTCCAGCAAAGATGTTATTACAGGTCAATCATTTCCATAAGTGAGAGCACATTTCTGGTGTATAGTACACTGACAGATGGCTAGAAGACCTCTCTTTCATGATCCCAGGCGGAATAAAAAGGCAATTTACTATCTATAGGACTGTGGGTACACTGGTAATGGAAGAGAATCATTCTTATACAAATAACTCCGTGTTTGAATCTGAACTATCAAATGAATCTGAGCTATAGCCAAATCAATTTGATAAACCATCAGAATATGATTGTACTGGCTCCAGCCTGCAAAGGCAATGCATTAAATTTTCCCCACAGGAAACAGTTACCCAAGGAAACAGCAATTGCTTGATTGCTTAAAACACACACACACACACACACACACACACACACACACACGCCACAAAACTTGAGTGAATTCAGAATATAAGGTGAAAACTTAAGATGGCCACTGATGTTCAAGGTCGACTCCTGAGGGGGAAATGGATATGCTAGGCTTCTCCTCTGAAACTTAGTGGAGTGTGTGTATGTGTGTGTGCATGTGTGCACATGCCCCTGGCCTTGTCCACATCTATTTCTCTTTGTAGTGGAACATCTCACTCTTGTACCCTCAGGTGTTCAGTGATTCCCTGTTTTTCACTCAACTAAAAACTTTTGCCTTCAGTAAAGGAGTTATTGGTTTGGGTTCCTTTCCTTTAACTCTCTTGGAATCCTTTGCATGCATCTCCTGGGGGACAAAGGACTGAATCTGTTGGGAAAGCAGGTTCACCATAGTCAGCTTGTGAGGAGATATTCTGGAGACAGGGTGAAGCTTCCCGATTCCCAGCACTGGCTTCTGGAGCAGTAACATCAGCTTTACCTGGCAAGTTATTAGAGATGCAGGTTCTCAGGCTCACTCTTGACCTGGTGAATCAAACTCTGGGGGTGGGGATCTGCATTCCAGGGTTTTATAAGCATGCCTAGTGATTATGATGCATGATCAAACTTAGAACCACTCACAGCTGAGCTGCTTATGGCTGAGCTCTACTCTGGAATTGTCTTCTCCTGACGTATCCAAGATTTGCCTCCTCCCCAGGGAGGAGCTTGCAGCTCATGATTATTGATGAAGAAGACTGGCCTCTTGCCTTTACTTAATTTGGTAAAACTTTGAAGGGCCATCGTAATTTCACAGCTCCCATGGAATTAGCTGAGGCTTCTGTTTCAAATCCATTGCAGTTTGACTTCCCTCTTAGTCTGATGGTATTCCCAGCAAGTACTTCCCACATGCTCCAGTAGCACTCCCCAGTAAGCCTCCTGCATACAAACATCCATATCACAGTCTTATTTGGGGGAATGGAAACCTGACTCAAGGCACCGTCAAAGCCCTTGCCTGAGCAGCTAGCTACTGTGCACTAAGTGGTTTGCCCAATTTGCACTCCTCCTACTCATTAACCTGTAGCATCTGGGGTGGCCTAGTTCTCTGCACACACCTCAACCAGCAGCTCTCAGGTCAGTATTTGGCTGGGGTTGGCACCTCAAGTTGTAGAAGTAAGAAATGGAATAGACCATAGAATCCAAGTTCAGCAAGCAGAGACTTGTAAAGACATCTGCATACTAACCTGAAAGCCCCAGAAAGGGAAGTTTGATGTTAAGGTGATCAATCCTCTTGCCCCTAAAGGGAGGGGAAGAAGGCTAGCACATATTTTAAATGTTATAGGCTAAGCTTTTGGCTAAGATCATGCACATACATGTATCCTCATGCATTGGGCTGAAAAGACGTGGGCAAGTATTATCACTCTCTACCCTTTTAAGTCATGGCAAGTGCTTCATAATTTCTTTAGTTTTTCTGTAAATGTTATTCACTTCATTCTGGCCAGATATGTTGCTTTGGTAAAAGGTTTGAAAAATGCACCTGTTACTTGAGGACTGCTTGTGGAGCTGCTTGTGAAGGTGACATCCATCTTCCTGCTGGCATTTGTGGCAGGACTGGCTGGGGGATTCATGTCCAAGTTCTCCATTAGACACTCAGATGAGACACATGGTGCAGTGCCGCAGCCTGGGGCCTGCTTATGCACCTGTAGGAGATCTTCTTCTGTGCTCTGTGTACTTATTTACTGGTGTTCTGGGAGTCTGGTGCTCACAATTATTTTCCCTTTCTGTTTGAGTTCACAGCCAATTGTATAAATTCTTGACATTTGATTAGACATATTTATGTGCTTTAGACAACATGATGTGGTGGGAGTACATGGAATGTAAGGCAGAAGACCTAGTTTCTGGTCTGGACTTTGTCACTTACAGTTCCAGTCTGATGTTCAGCAGGTCATTTTAAATTTCTAGCTCTGGTTTCCTGGATAAGGAGCTAGACTCATCAGATGCAGTCTAATTCAAATGTTCTTTGTATCAGGGTGATTAATGTGCTATGATTTAATAGTACATCTGGCACAGGTAATATATGAAAACGTATCCCATCATAGGAACATTCAAAGTCCTTAGGACTTTCAGGTAAAGGAAATTGATAAATTGCTATTCTGGTGGTCAAAGACATCAACAGCATTGTCTCTGTTTCTTCCCCCAATACTTGAAGACGAGGAAACATTAAGCATTATACATTCTATTATGCCTGAGAACTACTTGGTACTTCATCATGACTTACTATTTTAAGGTTTATATTTAATTATTGTCTGACTCTCTTAGGAGAATATAAGCTTCCTGTGAAGAGACCAAGGCTTAGAGAGGCAAAGGAATGGTTTAAAATCAAGATAGTCTGCTCTGGCCTCTCTACTTTGATCACACTGACATTTCCTTCTCTTGCATGTATTGGCCATCTCAGGGAAGGTATGCTAAAATAACCACTGAACTTTTCAAAGAGGCAAAATCCTATATATGGGTCAAATACATACTCTATCATCAATAATAACCATTTGTGGAGTTTCTCATCTACCGGACACGGTCTTGTTCTAGAGATACATTAGGTTTCAGCCTGAAGGAGAATACAAACTTTTGGGTGAAAAGGAGAAAGTGATGTTGACAGATGGGAGGGAAGGAGAGAAGTAACTACATATGGGAGCCTATGTTGACTGCCAAATAGGACGTGCAGGCTAGTGGCTCTCAAATGCCTAAACTGACCTTGGGCAGGCCATAGAAAGATCATTTAGTAAAACTTCAGATTTTTTTTCATATGTTTATTTCTTTGCTCACTGTTTCTTCTTGCATCTGATGTCTTACTTTTTGGTTCCTTCCTTCCTGCAGTACATTCATCAGTAGATGGGGAGTACATCTTGTTGAGAGCCGAAGAAAACACATTTTAAAAGAGTCGGAGATTGGGGTCCCTGCCACCAATCTAAAGGCTGCAGAATTCAAGGGAAGAAGAATTCACTGTTGGCTGTTGCCACACAGGGAAGAGGTGGCAGCAGGAATGACCCTAGTGGAAGGGCAGGGGCCTGTGAAAAGAGAGTCTCTATCTCTTAGAGGGAGAGATAGAGATGAGGAAGCAGCACCAGGAGAAGAGGTGGTGCTGTGGGGCACCGCATGGAGCCCAGAAGATCTGGATTGAGGCAAAAGGGATCCAAAAATAGTTGTGCGTGTATATCTTTCAGAGGAAGAAACTCCTGGACATTGAAGATGAGGAAGGAGAACTATGCTTTCCCTTCCAGGGAAGAAATGTATAGTGGCTAAGAGCTTGTGCTCTGAGTCAGACTAGTCTAGTGTTAAGTGTATGCTTCAAAATTTGCATGACTTTGGGTGAGTTAGTTAACCCCTCCCATGAAAGTCAGTTTTTCCTTCTCTAAAATGGGAACAATAGCTCCTACCACAGAGGATCTGACTCAATGTAAGATTACATTTGAAAGTGCATCTTAAGCTTTTAAAACACTGTCTGGGGCTTGATAAGTGCTCATCAAACATTAGTTGCTGTTATTGTTGCTGTTATATTATTGTAAGTCAGAGTGTAGATGAGCCCAAAATTGTCCCTCTAAGTCTTTGTAGATGACACAAATAAAAATTGACCTTAATTGTCAGCCCTATATGGGAAGCTTCTCTGAATTGGAGAAAGTTGACTTCTAACTTGTACATGTTAATCTCCAGCACGTGGAAACAGGGGAAGCTACTTACAGAATGACTGGTCCAGAGGCTCCGTGGAAAACATCATTAGGCAATTCTTCCAAATTATTGTTATCACTTAGATTCCTGGGGATGGAGTTGAAGAGAGAAGAATGGAAACACAAAGCCACATAGATGTTACTGTTGTAAGAGCCATTTCCCTCTAAATGGCCTGGAAGAAGAGACAGGGCTACTTACAGCTCATCTAGTTGGGTTCCGTTGAATGCGCAGTTGTGTATTTCTTGAATGCCATTCTTATTCAGCCATCTGAAATAAAAGGCCCATTAAAAAACCAATAATGTCAGATGCAAACAATACAGGGGTTTCATAATTGGAAGCACTGGGGCAAGGTCAGACATTGCAGGTTACTGGCATAAATAAAATGCCACCCGTAAGGCTCAGGGACAGGAGTGGGAGGGAGACTGATTTATCACTGTATAACCTCATGTGATGTTTGAAGTTTGTGTTACATGCATGTGTTACCTATTCAGAGAAGAAAAAAAATTAATTTAGAAAAGACCTACTTAGACCTAGCACCTGGCTCCTGTAAGGTCTTCGCACACATCATTAGTGTGCAGAGATGGTGCCATGGGGGGTGGGGGTGGGTTAAGACAAAGATCTTTCCCATCCTGAAAGACTGAAATCATACAATTATTGGACAAGTGTTTATAAGACAAAGGACATTCTGTATCCCCTTTCTGTAAGGCCTTAAGCCTCTCACCCATGCTTACCCGTAGCAGCAGGCCTGACTGTCATCAAAAAGTGATCTAATTAAGCTGTCAGACAACCTGAACATCTCCTGTGACCCGCAGGGACCTGGTTATTGGAGGTTTGTGGAGGTGGCTCTGGGTTAAGCCAGAAAGGAAGAGAAATCAATTACAAAGACTGGGCTGTGGCAGGGCGCAGTAGTGTGAGTGGGAACAGGAGGGGGCTCTGTGGCTGATGGGGCTGGATGTGGAACAGTCAGCCTGATTGTGCAAAGGACAGTGAACAGGTTTGCCTGGGTAGGGGAGCCCAAGGACACCTTGGGCCGACAGCTCTGCACTGCTGTGCTCCTGGGTGGATCTGAAAACAAAAATGAAATCCAAGGTCGGGAGAGCTTAGCCTGAAGAGCCTTTGACCACCTGCTCTTGATTTGCTGTCAGGTTCTTTTCCCTGTCAGGCTCAGTGGGTTTACAAATAACAGCGTTTGAAAAGCTGACCCAGAGAGTCTCCTGCACATTCAGGACTCTATTTCCCAGCTTGCAATGGGTAGCTAGAAACACAATCACAGGATGTCAACCGTATGTTTTTTTTCTTCTTCCTGAGAACCTGTTTACATAAAGCAATCCAGACAGGGACAAGGTAAATCTTTTTAAAACATTAGCAACCAGTTGGTGGGTTCTGATGGCCAGGAAGTGGCCATGCACCCCTGCATCGCACCTGCTTTGCAACTACCTGCTTGGAACCCCACTGTCTAGCCTGCTGACAGCTTTGGCAGCCTTTGCCTGGTAGTAAGTTGCTGCAACAGCTGCTCCTAACCTGTGGGATGTAGATCCCTGGGATTTTCAATCAAACACGGGGATCAGCAAGCTTTTTCTGTAAAGGGCCAGGTAGGACATCTTAGGTTTTGTGAGCCAAGAGGCAAAATGGAGAAAACTACATGGGTATTTTATATAGGTACTTATAAAACAATGTTGACAAATGTTTTGACCAAACTTAAAATACAATAATAGAGTACAATTTTTCTCTTTTTTTGGTAATAGAGGCTTACTGAAAATAATGGAATTTTTTTCTTTTTTGGGGGTAAGATGCCATGTTGCTTAATTTAAGTTCATCGTTAGTGTTCCCTGTCATCAAAATGTTCATTTGTAAAAAACAGAATTAGTTCATAGGCTTGATTTAGCTGACCCTTCATCTAACACAATGGGTTATGTAAATCCATGTGGGCTCCACCTGTGTTTCTGTAGAGGAGGTAGTTTTCTCTGTGCATATATTGCCTACAAATAGAGGTTACTATGATTAAATATTATACAGGTGAATTTAAAAGAATTACTGTTTTCGGAGTAGCCTTTGTCTCTATGGATTTTTCTCAATCAATAGATGCCATCATATGGCGAGGGCATAGAAGTTTTTGAAGTCAACAATGGATCATTACACAAAAAAATGATGTCCAGAACTCTGGCCCTGGGGTTGATATTAAACTGTGGCACTCAAACCACTGACAAAAAGAAGCTGACATTTATTAAGTAAACTCTTAGCCTCTTAAGAGACGTAGCGCTGGTTTTAAAACCTGATGATGATGATGACAATCATGACGATGACAACCACCATGATGATAAGGGCAACCTGGGCAAAGCATCAGCTAAAGGATCATGGTTTTCTTTAATCTTTAAGTGTTTGTGGCCTCAGAGGAGGCTCAGGAGGCTTTGAAGCAGTATCTGCCCTCAGCCTAAAAAGTGAGTGTACTGGGGGAACCACCCTATTAAAGCTCACTGGGGCAGGCAAGAAAGATGGAAGCCAATTGAGAAAAGGAGGAAATGCTCATGGAGTGAGCCTCTCCTATGGTTGGGATGTGGTGGGAACTGATACACATGGAAATTAATTTTTTTTTCTGAATTGAGGAAATTCTTTTGGCCATAGCTAGATGTTTTCCCCATTTAGACTCTGTAGTTGAAGGGCAGGGGTAGGAAAGGACTCAGAGACCTCAACATGGTGTACTTTTTTATTGCTCATTTTCTTTTGAGTTACTATTCAAGTATCTGATAATCCATTGTTATTGGGCTATTTAAAAAATTGTATGTGTGCATTTATATACATGTAAATGTCTGTATATATATATATATATATATATCGCTAAGTGTATTTTTAAAACGGGGATTCATGATTTTGAAAAATGTCAGTGCATGGAAAACTTCATCAGTCCTCAGTGCCATCTAGCCATGCTTCTTTTTTCTGAGCATTCTTGGATGTCCCTAGTGGGAGAAAGTGCCCCTGTATCAAGATGTTGCACTCAAACTAAGACCAACTGAAGTCTTAAACTGTGTTAAGTATGGATTTTCCATTTCTATTTTCTATGGATTAAAGGCCGTCTGAGGTCAAGAAAAATATATTTTGTTCTCACAAAAGTGAATTTATCCTTTAGAGATGTGTCTGAGAAGTCCTGCTCTTAAGAAAGCTCTCTTCTCTGGGAGAGTATGTTCTGAATTCTGGAGAGCCACATTCTGAGCAGAAGTCAGGGAAGGGAAGCCATGATCTACATATTTCTTTTGTTGATCTGGCTTTGTGAGACTCTGTCTTAAGTTCTTATTTCCTCAGGTTCTTTGCCTACACTTGGGGAGAGGTAAGACCTTTTTAGGTCAGGATCCTTGCCTTTTGTCTTATGTTCTGGACAAAAAGAATGTCAAAATAGAAAACTGAGAATATTAGCCCACTCCCACTTGATGATATATTTTTATAAAATATTTTGTTAATACATTTGCCACATGATAACATTGAGTAACTTTGAATCACTATTTTAAAAGCTGTTTAGAGCAAGATTTAAAGAAGCACAGATATCCAGGTATAACTGATGACATTTATCACTAGTCTCTTCCATCACGTAGCCTGGCAATCCGTTCACGTTATTTGTGCTCTAACCCCGCCAGGCTGGTGTTACTCAGGTACTCCCTATTTCCCCCAGACTCCTTCTATCACTCCTCCTCCTTTATTTTAATGTTCAGGGCCTTGATTGTTTCCCTTGCTTGCCCTTTTCCTGACTACATCCTACTGACCTATGAAAGCCCCATCTTAGACCTCCATTCTTGGCTACCTTTCCCTCCTTTAACTCTTCCTTCAACACTCACATCACAGGCCAGAGTAAATTATTCCTTCTTCAGTCTTAGGATAATTGCTTTTATTGTGTGCACTTTTCATTCTGTTTATATTTTAACTCATTTCTTTTGCTTTCCCTTTCTCTCACATTTCCCATGCCCCATCGACTCTTTCCAACACACATGCACATAAATTCTGAATATTATGTGTATTAAGTGGAAGGGTTAGGTATTACTCAGTTAAAATTTTTGTGCTAATACTGTGTACTCTGAATACATGCCTTTGATGTTTAAATTTTTTCCTTCATACTTGCAATTCCTCTGCTGGTCTCTTTGAAACCTTTCCTATTGTTCTTTCTAATTAATTTACATCAAATACTGTGCTTAGCTTTAATCTTCAACATGTCCTCATCTCTACTGTTTCTCCCCCCGACTTCTTTTTCGTACTGCTGGGTAGTCTCTGAATGGTGTGACTGCTTTGGAAAGGGAAATTCTTCTTTGGCTGGAACTTACCTTTTGTACATAATGACATGTTATAAACACACACATTGGTACATATTTAAAGAGTGCAGGAGTTTGTTAAGTGGAAGAATAAAATGCTATCCTTACAGATGCACTGGCAGTTACCAGTTTCCCAAATGCTATCCTGTTTATCTAACTTCCATGGACCCCACAGATACCTGGGTACCCCCAAGCCCTCTATTTCCTGACCATCTTGGGAGATGTGTCAACTGCCAAGCAGGCCACCAGCACACAGGATTACAAAATAGTCCATTAATAGCACAGAGTGCATTTAAAAACATTCCCAAAACTCAAGCTTATTAAAAAACGTGATTGTTCCAAGAAAAGGAGAAGTCATCTCACACCCAGCAAGGGGCTGAGTAGGAGCTGCTAGGCATGGATATAAGGGGAATATCTTCTGAATTCAGCCTCCTTCTTGGTCTTTTTCTTTGGGCAACAAAAGCCTTGCCAGGCAATAACTAGCTTTATTGATGCGTGAGTTATTCTGTCCTTCAGAACAGATGTTGCATCACAGGAGACCATCATTCAAAGAGCAATTTTAAATACTTGAATCGCACCACAGAATCATAAATTATTAACATGACTCCATGTTGTGATTCTGAAATGTAAAGATGGGAAATGAGAGAAAAAATACTGAAGCGGAGAGAAATTTAAATGGTGAAATGCCAAAGTTACCCAAACACAAAAGGAGCATCCTGTTATGAGAAAGATGATTAAATGAGAAACCAAATGTTACTCCACTGGAGTTTTTTCTTTACTTACAAAATCATACTTTCAAAACTCAGCCCCATGAAAGAATTTCTTTCAACCGTGTGGATGTTTATATTATCTTGAATGTCTCTAGAAGAAAGTACAGACATATTAGGTATTTATGCCAGCTCCACACATGTGACCTTCCCACATTTAGTTTCCTTGGCACGGTGTGGTCTTTAGCTGAGGCAGCATTTAAACAGTTATTGTTCTGAAAGATGATGAATTCAAAGTTGGGAAAACAAATGACATAATTTATCTTCAGTATATCAGTTCCTAAAAATGAAATTGCGGACAATTTCTTACATTCTCTTGTCTCTGAACATTTTATCTAATTTCACCATGTTAAGGTTCTGATAGAGAACCTTATTAATCCTTGCCTGCTCAATATGACAAAGCTGCTAAAGTTGACCTTTCACCTCCACACTGGACTTCATTCACCATATTTGGGGCTTCAGCTTCCTCCCATCTCAATCCCCTTCTCACAGCCGATTTACTCCTGTTCCCCATGAGTCACAAAAAGTTGTATCATGGATTTTTCTCGTCCGGAATGGAGGGATGGAGAAAGTCTCATTTATTTCGTTGTGTCCCTCATCCTCCCATCAAGCTTCCCTGCTGGGTCAGACTTAACAAGTACACTATAGGTAGAAGTAGTAAACTGACTGGAACAACTTGAGAAATGTTGAGAGCTTCTTTTTCTCTCTGTTGCTCTCTCCTTTTTCTTCCCCCTTTTCCTTAGTTCCTTATACCCCTTCCCTACTATTTCCTCTTGGGTCTGTTCAGATTCTTAGAATTGCACTGTTGGAAGTAAACTTGGCACTACACATTGCCTTTTCCCCTCCTCTTTGAAAATACAGATGTCTTGAAAAAAAGGCAAAGAGATAATCTTGCTAACAGTGTAATTTGTCAGCTGGTTTCTTTATGTCTAGGGTAGTATAAGAATTCAGGAGAGAAGAGGTGAGGGGCAAGACTGGCTTGAAGGAGGTAGTTGTAGGGGGAAGTTATGTTAAGCACTTAGTGAAGAAAGGAGAGACCTTGGTTTGCTTCAAGCTGGCTCTGTTGATGATGGTCTTATTGGGGAGACTGCTGACTGTCTCCAAACTGAGCTTAGGTGGCTTTCAGGTAAAACTAAGCATGCTTCCTGTTTGCCCTCCTACCTTTGCTCACTCAAAGAGACATATTTGGAGATCTACGCTAAACAATGGATATTATAGGCCATTGAGCAAGAGATCTACTGAGTAAGTCAACACTCAAGGAAAAACTTACAGTAGAACCTTTTGAAGAGATTGAATCTTGTGAACAGCTGGCAAGTGCTTAATACCTGTGTTGGATATTAACCTAGAGAGGGAGACAAAATGAGAATGAGGGAAAGATGAACCTGGTGATCTTAACAATTGCTATGGTATAAGCTCTCCAAATTCAAAGTAACAATTTTGAGCTATTAGAAAAACCTTCCAGAAAATCCCATAATACACCGGACTCATGCTTTTTCTATTTTAAGCTTGTAACCAAGGTCTAGCAAGGTACTGATGCCTTAGAGAAAAGAAACTTAAACTTTAGGGACAATGCACTCTATATATGTCTATATCTATATATAAATTTTAAGATATGTTAACATGACCCAAAAACAACTTGTAATTAGATAATAAAATGTTCCTAAATCATCCCTTGTTTCCCACCTTCTCATACTCTTTGGAGAATTGCCCCTTCCCCAATGCAACTGATTCTGTTGAGATCAGAGCATGAAGTTCCATGCTTTTGAACCCTAGTTTATACATATAAGCTAATCCTGGTCAATCAGATTATCTCTGGGTTAGAGCTGAATCCACTGATGCCATCACCCTTAAAAGATACTTTATAAATTTCTATAGCTGAAATCTATAATGGATCCTTCCCAAAGCCTGCTTCTTTTGGCCTGGGTTCCCCAGGAAGCAGAAACTGAGATGAAGCCTGGCCTGTAGGTGGTATTTTTGATAATAAGTTTAGAGAGTTTGTGACATCAGTAATAAAACAGGGCAGAAAGATAATCAATACAGATAAGTTGTTGAATTGGCCTCTGCTACTGGTTACTGGTCCTTAATGCCAAAGACTTGATTTAGGAGACATTTAAAAAAAAAAGATTTTTTTGTTTGTTTATTCATGAGAGAGACACAGAGAGAGAGGCAGAGACACAGGCAGAGGGAGAAGCAGGCCCCATGCAGGGAGCCTGATGTGGGACTCGATCCTGGAACTCTGGGATCACGCCCCAAGCCGAAAGCAGGTATAAAACCACTGAGCGACCTAGGGATCTCAATTTAGGAGACTTTTAAAATGGATTTCAGAACTGTTGTCCTGAATGGGGAAAAAAGGAAGCATTTCTTTATGGACTTCTATTTCCTACTTGTCAAATGTGCTCCCATGGTGTTAATTCCCTACTTGTGGCTTGCATGCCCAGTGGGTGAGGAGACTCAGGATAGGAAATGAGAGGTCTACAAGGCCAGGCTAGGTGCTATCCAGTTGTACCTCCATTAAGCTGCTTGAAATTTGGGTGGAACTGGCTGCTACAGCAGTGGTAAGGGTTTTCAAGGCACATGAGAGTTGTTGACACTCTGATCCTCAGCATTTCCTTTTGTCTTGTGAGCTACTCAGAATACTTCTAGTATCTCCTCATCACCATTCTTTTTTTTTTTTAAGGTTGCCTTTTTAAAAAAAATATTTATTTATCCACTAGAGACACAGAGAAAGAGAGGCAGAGACAGAAGGAAAAGCAGGCTCCATGCAGGGAGCTAGACGTGGGACTCAATCCTGGGTCCCCAGGATAAGGTCCTGGGCGGAAGGTGGCGCTAAACCACTGAGCCACCCGGGCTGCCCCTGCTGAGCCACCCAGGCTGCCCTCATCACCATTCTTTTTTTCTATGTGGCTTACCTAAGCAAGAATTGGTCTTGGCCACTTGCAATCTAAAGAATCTTCACTGGTACAGTCATCATTGTGCAAAATCATGTATCGTTTTGGGTTTATGATTCTAGAGTAGACTGTGGTATCTTTGCCTCCATATTCAGAGTCCATGAATTCTGCTCATGGCTTCTCTAATGGCTCTCAGATGTTTTGTTCCCCTTTGGTTCTCAATGATCCACATAGATTCCATCTTGGTCAATTCTTTTGATTACTCAACAGCCCTTGATATGGTCTTCTTCTGTTTTGATCAGTTCCTGTTCTTTTACCTTTTCCAAAATATTATATCAATGCAATTATATATTATGCAACTTCCTGAACCTGGCTTCTTTCACAAAGTATAATGTGTTTGAGATTCTTCCATTATATTGTGTGTATCAGCGGTTAATTGCTTTTCTCTTTTATTGCTGAGTAGTATTCCAATGCATTATCCATTCACCAGTTGAAGGACATGTAGGTTTCCAGTTTTTGTGATAGTTTTAAAAAGCTGCTTTAAACATCTGTGGTGGTTGGTGGTGTGTGTGCACACATGCATGAATGTGTGCATGTAAGAGAGGGGGAGAGAGAGGTTTTTCTTTTTCTTGGATAAATACCTATGAGTAGGATTTCTAGGTTGTATGGTAAGTATATGTTTAACTTTACTAGAAACTGCCAAACTGTATTCCAAAGTGGCTGCACCATTATGCATTGCCATCAGCAATGTATGAGAGTTCTAGTTGTTCCATGTCCTTTGGTTATGTTAAAAGTACTCTTTGAATATAAAAGTAATACATGTTTATTGTGGGAATTATGGAAAACATGGAAACATTTACAGAAGAAAGTAAAAGTCCCCTCTAGTTTGTCTACCCAGATATAGCGTCTGCTAATACTGGGTGTTTGATGTTTCTACCAAAACAAAGTTGCTTTCCATAATCTTTGGGATTCTACTCCAGCTACACAGAAACCTTGCCATAGATAAGTATATACTAGCTTGACACAGCCGTATTCCAGACTTGTTATTTAGTCATACCCAGTCTTCTGCTATTTTTAGATCTCATGTGTCTATGTACTATTGCCTTAATGAGATATCAAAGCAAGGACCATATTTAATATTCTCTGACAGTCTATACTATGTGCAGATTTAGAATGTAGTATGTGCTCATAAAATAATGAGTTAATTGGTTGATGTTTCTAAAACATTTCTTGAATCTGTCACCAAGGATGTATAAAAATCCTTATTCAGTTAATTTACTTGTCCGATATCCCTGCTATCTGGAGTAATTAATCTTAAACAGAGGCAGGGAAGTCTGGAGGCCAGGAATCAGTAGAACCTATGTGCCAACTCTGTCATGAACTAGACACAACACATTTTATCTCTCCAGACTGGAAAGGATGTGGAGTGCATGAATATCAGGGTAGGCATTCTCTCAGACACCCTTGTGCCCTGCTTCACATCCTCTTGGTCCATCTTTTACTTTAGCCGTTACCATAGCAACTAGCTACCTACAGACTTAACTTGGCAGATACTGGTTGCAGCTATACTGATTGTCTCATTTTTCTGCCCTGGGCTTCTCTGCCACCTCTGAGTGCAACACTTAAAGGAATCTGTTCTACCATTCAGAGACATGTACGAATCAGGAAGTGCAAGGGAGTTAATAATACCCCATAGGGCAACTTTTGACCAGTGGTGAACTCCCCTCTTCCATTCTTTGGGTGGAGAATTCTGAAAATATTCTAAATGATACTTAAGAGAGACTCTAGCATGACTGAACCCCAATTTCCTGGTGATGATGAACCAATAATAAATTCCTGAATTGGCTTTCCCACTTTGTTTTCTTGTCCTTAGTCATCCAGTCTCTTTCCTTGGGTTTGGGTATAAACACAAAGTACTCATATATAAGTCCTTCCTCAGGTGTGTTTTAGAGCACCTAGGCTTAGACAAATACCAGCTTGCACTGAATCTCACATTTACATAGATTCCCTGATGGTTGCTATTACCCTTTACTCCAAATCTGTCTCCAGTTGCCGCCCAGCTTGCCCTGTTTCTCTTCCTTCCTTTACTGTAAAGTATCTAGAAAGAGTTCTCTGCATCTGTTGTCTTTCATTTTCTTGTATCCCATTTCTCTTCAACCTCCTCCAAGTTTTTTCATGCCACATCTCTCCACCAAAACTACTTTGTCGTGTGCCAAATGCATCAATCCATAACTGATAAATCTAATGAGCGATTTAAATTCTCATTCTTTAAACATCTTTCAGGAGAATTCAATACTCTTTGCCAATCTCCCTTTCTGTTAGTTTCTAGCATTTCTCACTCTCCCTTGTTCTTCCTCTTACTCCTTTTTATTTTACTTTTTGACTCCTCCTCTTTGATCTTTACTCTGAGCCGTTTGTCTTTTTTCTTTATAATCTTGTTAGAAAATCTTATTTCCCATGGATTTAAGTACTATAAGTATGGTGACAATTCATAGGTTCATACTTGACTTCTGACAGCTATAGTTTATCTCCAATTAAAGTTTACTTTATATATTCTTCTAAATGTCTCATTTGACATAACAAACTAAATATGTTCCCTCACCCCTTCTGCCAAACTACTCCTCAATTCTTCCTCATAAATAGCCCTACTATCTGTCAATTGTTTATAACAAATGTGACAGTTAAACTTGATTTTCTTCACCCTCATTCCCCAATATCAATGCATCTCAAAGTCCTCTTCAATTTCATTTCCAAAAGATTTCTTGATTTCATACAGTTTCTTCCATCATTACCAATACCATTCTAGGACAAACCACCGCTCTCTTTCCTTTAGATCTCTGCAATAGGCTCCTGCTTCCATACGCATAGTCTTGTCCTTTTCTTTTTCTTTCTTTTAAAGATTTTATTTATTCATGAGAGGCAGAGGCATAGGCAGAGGGAGAAGCAGGCTCCCAGCAGGGGAGCCCAATATGGGACTCAATCCCAGGAACCCGGGATCATGACCTGAGTCAAAGACAGACACTGAGCCACCCAGGTGCCCTAGTCCTTTTCTAACCCATTCTTCATACAGCATCCAGAGCATTCTTTTTTTTTATGTAAATCAGATTGCTTTAGTCTTCTGCTTTTCTTTAGTTCATTTCCATTATAGAATTTATATTTCTTAGTACCTACTCTTGGACCTTACTTATTTCATTCCAGCCTCCCAATACACTTTAGCACCAGTGGCTTTCATTCAGTTCCTCAGATATTCTAAATTCTTCCCTGTTTCCAGGAAGACCCTGTTCCCCAGGCTCTATATGGAAGGCTCACCACCCACTCCTTACTTGGTCCCCCTCAACTGATACTTCAGGGGTCAGTTGCAAATGTCATTTTTTTAGTGAAGAGCTCCCTGACTCCCAATTGAAATTAAGGCCCCTGATTTCTTCCCAGTATATTCATGTTGTCTTTAGCATTT